CCCAAAAATTTGTTGCCCTCTCTTTTTTGCCTTGTGGTACTTCAAACATATGGGCACCCTTTGCACATAATCAGCTTCCGCAACTCGGAGTCAAAAACGCCAAGACCTTTTTGCTATACACTGAGTAAGTTGGGTGCTGCTACTTGGTCTTTGACTGCCGACGCACTAACGCTTTTTCTTCTGTGATATCTAAGTTCCTTGCGCTTAGTGGGTTTTCTCCGCGGCCTGCTACACATGCGTGGTAAACGAATATATGCTAAGCAGTACGCTCTGTCGGCACTCTGAAGGCGTCTCACAGTCTAGGGGCTTGGTGATGGTAAGGAAAAACATATGGGAAAATGAGTCGCTTCTCACTTGTCTTTGTAGCGAATCGTATAATGGTTTCAGGCAGGCGGAGGTAAGGCTAGGGATCTACACTGACAGGGCGTAGAGCCTGGGTGACAACGCCTGTACAGTATAGAGGCAAGTCGGGGAAAAAGTCCAAGATGTTTTTAACAGCAAGCAGAACAGGAAGAAACATGTATGAGCAGCCCATATGCAGGAAGGTTCTGACCTTGCAGAATCAAAGGACGTCTGAACGCCTCTAGGTGGCGAGTGCAAATGGGCTCTCAAGTTAGCTAAAGAATTGGGATTCTACTGCGTCAAGCATTTGCCACTGTCAAATTAGTGGTTGCTTAGGCCTTAGAGACGGCTTCTCCTCAGTATCTCGGCGTTAGAGGTTGGGGCGTTTTAACCGCGAGCTTGAACAAGTCGTGGCTTGGCTAAACATAACCGGTGGACACTTTCGACTACTCCTCCGTAGAATTGGAGCGAAAACTTTCACCTCCCAGCCCAGCGTTTCCCTAAGACATATAACTAACTACAGTGGGGTCGCAACGCATATTGTCATAGACGATATTGCTTCAATAGTCAAAAATATCATATTTTCCCCAAGGTATTGTACACTGGGACTCCGGTTGGTCCTTCATTCTTTGCTAGCCAAGCGTGCGAAATCTCCCGAATGTAAGTGCAAATTCCGCAAATAAATGTACCAATCTACCTCTATCCGACTCTCCAAAACTCAACTGTGCCATGTTGGGTCGTGCAACTACCGGAGACGAGCGCTTCGTGGGGTCATGTTGGCGGTTGAGAAGGGCGATGGTCTGCTCATTCCGTACACTAAACTCCTGAGTAAGTCGGTGCCCAAACAAACTGTTCGAGAAGGTGCACTTCGGCACCTTGATTTCGCTGCCTGTTACTTTTATGCTCTGTCGGTCTTTATCGCCCTCCTTTCCCCCTTCCAAAGCGTACGGCAACACATCTTTGCATATCGTGCCTTTTGTATCCATCTAACTACTTCGTACACCTATTGATTTGTGATATACCGATGTTGGGTGGGTAAAAGTAGCGAGGCTACGCGTGCCATACCTCTAAAGCTCGCTACGGCATTTCTCCCTACAATATAAACTGAAGGGCTTGCCCGCCTACGCCCTTGTCTCTTACACTAAGGAGATGTGGAAAAGAAGCATACCCTGCCCTTTAAATCAACGTTTAAAGTGCCATTGAGGGCTGCTCAATGACTGCCAGTTCAACCACAGGATGGAATGAGAGATGTTGGCAAATATGGGCAGAATGTGGGAAAACCAAAGACGCTTAGCGGCCAGCTTGGGCGGTATTTCCTTTTTGATCATTTCTGAACCCGCTAATTCCACAGGACCATAAGCTTTTTTTACCGGGAATAGGATTCACAACTCCTTTCCTGCTTATCAGCGCGTCCACCCTTTTTAACTCCCAGCATATCAAGCCCTCTGAAAACGTATTGGCGCTACTCATTGCACAAGCTTACCTACCAGCTGAAATGTGCTCAATTCCTGTTTTGCAAAGCCTACTTAGAGGGGATAAAATGCTGTCACGATGGGCGATCCTTCTCATAGCCCGTTGTTCGGATACTGTTCAAGACTTTTTGAAAATTTCACTCCCCCCAGTGGTGGGGAAAATGAATCACGCTGGAAGGGGGACTGAAAGAATCTTCCCGTCCTCTGCGTAAGAAAGAAAACACCCGTTGCTCTTGTTCGTTAGGGCTTCATACAGTACGTAAACCCCGTGGGTGGCGGGATATGTTACAAGCGCATCGATATTTTGCCAGAGTAGCACGACGCCTGCGTACATTACGAGAGCTGACTAACTGGAGAAGTACGTTGTGCATACAAACCTGTTCCTGTCAGCAGTATTTCGAGCTCGGCAACCTCTGTAGCGCTGCCAATGGGTACGTTGAGGTTGACTGCCTTTCGGAAGCTTGACCCCTTCCAAAAGGTCACTGCGCCGCCACGGGTTATCGAAGCCCAATCGATCTCTTTACCGGGAGTGGAAGAAGTACCCAAGATGGAGAAAGGCGGGTCTTCAAGTTGCATGAGAACATGCAGGCACTCGGCAGTATCCGGCTGCCACAGACGGATTGTCTTGTCCAGTGACCCTGAATATTGACTCATGCACATTCAGGCGATGTTGAGACGGCCAGACAGGAAAAATTCATCCGGATACATAAGCAAATCTCCCAATTGTTTAGCCCAGTTCCGTTTACCCGAGACCAGTAGATGCTCAACAATCTTCAATGCGGTAATCGAGTCCTGGACATCGGTAAGAATACCCCAAATATCAGTAGCTTAATACGTTCAGCAATCAAAAGCTTGCGCTTGAGGCACTAGGTGCTGCTAGTGCTTAAGAGAAGACAAGTTCTGTCACATTCGGGGGGATGAGAATCTTCTCATCTGACTGTGCCTCACAGTGTGGCCGCCTAGGCGGATAGTTGCTGTGGGGTCTTCTATGCAGTATCTGCTTATATCCCTGCCGTTTCCGGCTGCATATTCCGCATCAAATAGCTACGAGGCAGACCGATCGTGCAAGCACATACGATGAGCTTGCACTGGGGGCAAAACGAGAGCTAAAGCTGTGAAATGCCCTTTACCTGAGAAAAAAAGTCTCTTGGAGTAATAGCCGGCTAGGTACAGCACCTCCAGGTCTTTGCTCCCGCCGCTTCTATACAACTCCTGCGAAAATGCAGTGGCCACAAGGGGAGAACAAGTAATACAATGCCTAACTTGCGATGCCGTACAAGATGCGGATTCTGTAAGGCAATGTATCGCCGATACTGTCATTCTCAGAGGCGATATGGCCGTTTTCCCGTGCAACTAGAAAGCCAGCTTCGTCTCAAGGTGCACCATCATATTCCATACACATTGTCTCGTCATAATTCTCCCGTCTACTTCGTTGACGAACAGAAGACACATCTTGCCGTCGTAGCCACCCGTCAAGACGTAGAATGCATTGCATTTGAAATCGGGCTGGAGTAAGGAGCTCGCTATCCTCGTATCGTCTTTCGATTGCTCCGTCGTATCAGACCACGACTCCATGCAGGCCACTGTGTTCTCATGGAGGTTTTTGCCTGACCAATTTCATATGTGCAGTGTTAGTCATTCGATGCTTGCATCTAGCAATATCCTCTACTGTTAACGGGTCAGGTTTACCGCATGGGCGTTTAATTCCAAGTCCCACTACTCCTTGATGGTTCTATCAACGGTATGGCTTGAGATCTTGCCTTTTCTGTCTAGCACTGGTGCTGAGCTATCGCTGGGGAGAAGCCAGAAACGGACTGAACCGTCTTCATGGCCAGTCAAGAGAACATCCAACCCAGCCAAGAAGGTGAGGCTGACGTCAAAATCCGCATGCACTGCAGTGGTGTCCCATTAGCCTTGAAAAATATAATGAGTATGCAAGGGGGTAAACCGGAGGGGCATTTTAAAGGAGTGCTTTAGATGGTTTAAGATAGACGCGTAGCCTGCCTTGTGACTTCGGCATGCTTGCAGTAGATTGCGGAGACTGCCGTCGCTCTTTGCAGATCCCACCTGAGCAAATGCATTCCAGCATTGTTTTGCTCACTCCACACTAAGAAACATATGGTAAGTGCCAAATGCCTGAGAAGTTATCGATTTTTATTGCTCTTTTTGTTCGGCCCGCTGGTGACTCACAAAAGAAACGTTTTATCAGCTGCCATTGAAAGCAAAAGGCGAGTGTCTCCCATGGGCAACCAGAGCAAATGGGATACAGCACCTAATCGGGCATGGCGTATGGCACAGCCGTTGCTCCTCGGCAAAGGAAGCGTCAATTTCGCAACGGAGATGGCCAACGGGACTTTAATAAAAATTATTTTGGACAAGTGCAATATGCTGTACCCTCGTGGCCGGATAGGACTGGCTCCGTGTTTGTGGGCTTCGCTCGAACAGTAAAGACGGAATGAGTTGATCCAACGACGATTCGCTCGGCCTCTGGACGCACGCCATTCAATCACGTGCAGCAACACTGGTAATTCCTCTGTGAGCAACTTGATCCTGATTGATCGTGTGCAGTGAACCAAATCAACTAGCATATCTTACGCGGGTCAACGAATATGTGGAGAATCTTGTGCTCGCTTATTTGCTGTGAAGCAACTAATTCGTTGGAGTATATATTAAAGTAGCTCAAGGTGCCTGAATCGTCCCCGGCAAGGAGAAGGCTTTGCTTGGGGTCCCATGCCAAAGCCGAAAATGATACACCTCGTGGATTTGCCTGCTTCCACCAGACTTCCCCTAGAAAGGGATCGACAACAGCTATTCCTGTGTCACTTCCAGCAGTGACTACAACAGATTCTAACGGAAGGGAATATACAAGTCTAGTGCACAAGCTGTGCATCTGCATTTTTCGACAAATACTAAAGGCCTCGCGACACCAACGAGAAGACCGTGCTGGTTTCATATTCAACTCATCGAACTCTTGTTCGGCAGCGGAACCACCTCCCTCCAGTAATAATAGCGACCCGTCCGTAGACGCAGCAGAGACGCGCACTTTGTCTCCTGCCCATTTGGCTGTCACACATTCGAACCATGAATGCGTTAGCACCGTTATACCCTTGACTGTAGCTGCACACGACGCAAGCAGAGTCGTTACAGATAAACTTTAGTTATTCGATATTTCCCCACGATATGTGGTTAAAAGAGATTTTGGTTTTTGGCAGAATGCGACAGACATGTAGGGGCAGCTCCGCTTTGCAGCTTTTGCACCAAGGAGAAAGTCGGGGCCTTTCTCAGCGTAATGTCGACAACAAAGAATGAAAGAGATCCGTCAGTGGAGGAAGATATCAAATAAGGCATGCACATAGCCAAGGAGACGATTGTACCGCCGTGACCTCCAACTGTCCGGATGCATTCCACGCTCTTAGTGGAGATGCTCCATATTCGAATTGTGCGGTCTGCTGAGCCACTCAGCAACCACTGGCCCCCTACATCGCGATCTTCCGCAGCTGTTTCAGCAGCAGAGAGTCTGGGAAAGGCCTCGGGTTGAGTGTTGAACGCAAAGTGCAAACAGTGAACTGCCCCACTATGCCCACGGAGCCTCTCAACAGCTGCAGATTTCGGTGAAGGACCAACTAAATCGTGTTGAAAGAAAAGGATATCTCCCGATGATAAACCTATAAAGGTCAGCTTCAGTTCAGAAAAGCGCGCAACTGCAGTAATCTCATTTGCAGTTTCTTCACGAGAACGAGGGTTTCTCCCGAAGATCGCGAAGTCTTCGTGTATGAAGGTATCCGTCACAACAAAAGACATATCATAAGTAAACTTGGGAGGCCGTTTTATGGCTGCCACTATGTCTGCCCTGTTTGTCGTCGCAGAAGATGAGCTGGTGCTGAGCTTTTCTTGGCGGCATAGATAACTAGGGCGCCCTAGAGAGGCACGTGGGCGCAGATTATCAGGCTGCATTGCCAAACTGTTTTCCGACGTCCCAATGTGGAGGCGGAGACGCAGCCTGGGCAGTACACTTTTTAAAGAGAACCGTTTGCGCTTATCTATGGAGCACTAGCCTTTTTGGGATAGCGAGCCCAGAACGTCAAACTTGCCTCGCGACGAATACTGGACTACCCTGCATGCAGTGTATCACACTGACCAATGCCCCCCGTGTTATCATTGATGCCCTGACGGAGAAAGTTGCAATAGTTGGAGCAGGGCAGGCGTCGTGCAAATTCGAAGCACCGACGGAAGCCTACGCCTGTCTAACTGATAGTCGTCACCGGTGATTCACAAATATGAGACATAAGAGGTGAAAATGTTTTAAAAGTACACTTGAAATCTCATTGGTGAATAGCTAAGCATCTGCACCATTTCATTTCCCTCCTGTATTCATGTCCTTCACCAATTTCCATGGACATAGGAGCCCACCAGAAGCTGGACCAAAAGAGCTTATATAGCACATTAATTCTACATAGTTGGCCAAACGGATGATTTTGTGAGGCACATTGCAGATGGTGCTGCTCGTAGAGATCGCCATCTGCTACGTGTCAAACAGAACCAGCCTCCTGCTTTCTGCTCACCCTCGCCGCTACCGACGACGGCGAAACAATCAAAACCAAAAACTCCCTGAAATCCCCATTTTACGTGTCGATTAAGCTCAGTGTATCTAAGTAGATTCCCGTAGGAATAGGTTTTTTTGGTGTTCCCGACAGCAATGGCATGCGTCTTTGTTCATGCTTCATGCTATGCTGTCGAAGCACGTATGGATTATCGAGCGCCCAAGCTAGCAGCTAGCACCTCAAAGAAGTATTGATCACGATATAACAATTTGTTCTTTTGAAATCGGACATCACTGAGATCACGACAAAGGTTTATTTAGATGGAGCAGCGTTTCACAGTACTGCAGTTTCCGAAGCAGTGACCCCGTTGATGCAGACCGAACTCAGGTGAGAGCATCGTAAGCAATCCACAAACATCTTAGCTTTTGACGATTATCGTTGCACCAGTTTCTATTCGCCTAGCTTTGCAAGCAGATATTACTGCAGGGACCTGCGTCTATTGACCAGGCTAAAGTCCGTGAAATTCGCTTGAGCACTTCACACCTAAAGAGTCACTTATCGAGGTGCTGGGTACGTTTGGTGAGACCACTAGAACCCATTATGATGCGAGATAAATACCAGTACAGTGAGGGCATGCGGTTGCTGTTGCTCTCCTGCCCTTTACTCATGCCTGCGACTTCGCGAACTTCTGCTACGTTTAATTTATCATTTCTCCAATTTGTTTTGAGAGGTATCCAGCGTTCTACATCTTCCATATGAATTCGGCTTCCACCTAAAACCCTCATGAAAACTTTTCTTGTGCAGAGGAAGCGTTTCCTCGTTGGTTCCTTCTGAGGAGGCAGCAGTTGAAGACGCTTTGCTGCACAATCGTAGAGACTCACCAGCCTAGTCGACCTGTGCCGTCCACCACCTTCCCCAATAATTATAGCAAAGGCTAATGCGTTTGGGCGCTAAGGACTGATGTGTTAATGGCCTCTCACGCTTGCTGAAGCCTCGCCAGGTGCAAGGGTTGCGTGCAAATGCCTCCTGAGGATATGAGTGTATCTGCAAACCGCCATTAGAAGTCAGGCTCTGTTGCGCTGTATTTGTGACTCAAAGAATGCGCAGCCCTCAAAAAATGCACTGCATGACAACTTGCAGAGTAATCTCTAACAGCAGGCTCCAACATAAGGCGCAATCCACCCACTATCTGAACGTGGTTTTCAGTTCCGCTCTCCCCGGATACTACCTTTCCATATACCACAGCTGCGAGGCCCCAAGGATGAATCCCCGCACTGGGGATGGAAAGAAACTTGACAGACAAACGGACCCGTCAAAATGATCCAAAGCTGATTGTTAGGGCGAGGACAATGCAAGCAAAATGACACATTGGCAATACCAAAAACTTTGCTTCGACGGGTCCGTGCGAATAAACCCTATTACACTCCCATCACAGATAACGCATCTCTTCCACACCTCTGCGGCTTGCCACGGCTATTCCATCTAGGCATCATAGCCTGACTCAACGATGCAGTTTATATTCCCTCCAGTAAGACCTCGAAAAAATTCTTGGTCAGTTTTGGGCCTGTGCACGATCTGTTGCGTTTGGTGGCAAAACTCGCATGTGTCATGATGCCACCATTTGGCCTCGTTTTCATCTCTTTCTGATTTTTCCGGATATCCACGGCGTTTTTTTTCTTTTCAAGCCAATACATGAGTCCACTCCACATACCATGTTCCTGAGAATCTGAACCCGTAGAACTACAATGGCATCTCTTGTATTTGCCGAATCCTCATGGATTCGTCATCGCCGGCACCACTCAATGCCTGAATTCCAAAGCTTCATAGTCTAGCGTTTTCGGCTTCTAGATCAGTGCTTGTTTGGTTCTAGGCAACCGGATAACATGTCTTACCAGTAGGTATTCCGTGGGTCACCTCCAATTATGCAACAATGCATCCACATGCTCTTAAGAATCCCATTTGCCCCTCTAAGCCACTCCCGCTGTTCCGCTATCACTCCCGGAGACGTCATCCTTGGCACTGGAAACAAAGAAGCAATACACTCTATTCTTGTATACGCAGAGTGATGCCCTACGTTTCCGCAACTTAACGCAGAAAGACTTTGAGCTCCGGAGTTTATCACGAGACTAGGCACCGAGATGAAGAGTACCTGAAGTGGGTACACGATATTGAATACCTGTATTAAATTGTAATCTATGCCGGGGCAAAACAACCAGCCAACATAATTCACAGTGCAGTACATTCCTCAATGAAGGAAGGCACGGCTACCACATTGATGCATCTCGTTACAGACGTTATGAACAGACGAGATGAATACGCGTAAGCCTTGCTTGAATACGCATAAACCGTATGCGCGCTATGAGTTTTTTCTGATGTCAGCTTTGCAACACTCTAGTTCCCAACCCACTTTTCACAACATGCGCTGTTGACTATCGCATGCCCCGTTCGAGAGATGATGCACATGAACTAGTGAGCGCAAAAGGACCATTACATGTATTTAGGGCGAAGTAAACCTGACGTCGTCACTACAGTCAGAATCACTCAGCATGGGGGAACGATGGCCACAAAAAGCTTAGGTTTACGGCTTGCCTTGGGCTCACTGGGTTTCATTCCAAGGCTATCAACACAATCTCCTCTTATCTACTAGCGTTGCCAGGCCGTGCACCGCCTGGCAGCCCTAAAGCTTATTTGAGTGCTCTTTTTGCCAAGCAGCTTGTAAGTTGCTAGCTGCTCTACAAGCAACACTGATTCGCGAGATACTCAATTCTGGCAAACCCGCTTTTACAGACGTGGACAGAAGAAACAAAGAATTCTTCTGTAGGTGCGGCTCCTTTGCAAGGTACCAAAACAAAAAGCACATTTCCCGATTGTGGACTTGGCCATTACTTGGGGCTTCAAAGTCCGGCAGGCTCAAAAGCACCCCGAACCTGGAACCAATGGCGCTCCTGCTTCCATTTTCGACATTGGCCTTCCAATTTCGAAAGATCTGTTTACATCGGTTTATACTGTACCTACACTAGCAAATGCTACAGATGGAAGCATTTTCTTCGCCAGTGATTCTGTTAAACACTTGAATTCTGCGCTTGCTCATGTTCGCATTCGTACAGTCCTTTTCTCTGAACTACGCTTCCAATTTCCTGACCTCTTTTTGGTGAGAATGAATTTTAGCTTGGTCGTTTCTAGCCCGGGTCTTGTATCCGCAGTGGGGTACCTGATATCCTATCTTCCCATTCTCCTCCCATCTCTATTTGTGGGCCCGAGTGTTGTATCTGCTGTTCATACTGCCTGGTTTCATTTTCTCATCGGAAGTCTGGGTCAAGATGAGACATGGCGTACTGTTGGGAATAGCCACAATGCTTGGCTTGCCTTAGGGTTGAAATATTGCTGACGAAGACGATGCCGTGTCGACGAGCTACTAGATTCGCTGAAGGTGTGTGGATGCGCAGGGATAGTTTGAAAGGAAAGACGATTTCTTTGTAGAGCAGGCAAATTCAATTACACAGAGTAAAGCGCAAAAAAACATCTTTTTCTATCGTTTGCTAGGGTTCGCGGAAACCGACATCTGTCTCGAAAGAGTGAACCCTACTCGACCAGAAAGTGGTAGCTTGGGCTGGCCAGGTGCGGGCCTACGAAGAAAACACTGTATTGCTTCTCCATTTCTGAAGCGCTCTGCAGATGAAATGCAAGAATGGGTTAGCCAAGAATGGTCCTAGATGGCAAATCACTGTGGGCTAGGCAGTGCGGCAGGGCCTGCCTCAAGTAGGTGCAGCTGCCAATGTTTTGGTGTGTAGCAGCCCAAGCATGCTTAGACAAATCGGATGTATCCCATTTGCTGCGTAGGTTAGTTAGGAAGGAGGCGATGATGGCGAATCTGGGGATGAAAGTGCATTAGTGCGGTGCGAAGCTGAGGAGCACGCGAACGTCGTACACGTGTACAGGCGCAGTGGCAATGCCCTGGCCCTCTATTTTCCGGATCTGATTAGCCTGCCGACTCCTAGATACTGAACCCTAAAAATACTAGGTGCTTGCACGAAAGGAGACTTCCGTCCCTACACAAATCGCTGCTTCTCATACGGCATATGCAGAGCACGCTACAGGTGCTGCAACTGCTTCTGCCCATTCTGGTTCGGCACATTCACATGCATTGTCCACGTATCTAACCATCCAGCCAAGTTCCGCAGCTCGGCAGGTGCATTCACTAGCCCGAAGAGCATACCGCTGAACTGTACGTTGGGAGAGCAGGTATAGAACATTGTTTTGTGCCTTTCGTCGGGATGCATTGGAATATGCAAGGACACGTCAGCAAAGTCAAACGGTGAATATGCAGATAAATGCTGCAGGCTGCCAAGTGGTTCGTCCACCCCGGGCATCGGAAACTTCTGCGCCACCGTGAATTTGTCTAGTAGCTTGAAGTTGAGGGCAGTGCGTCACTTCCCGTCCTGGCTTTTCACCAGCGCAGGGTTGTGTCCAAAGGCGCTAGTTTGTCCAACTTTGCCTTTTCATAGCAGTTCGCCTGCGTCTCGCTCGTTGTCCTCGTTAAGATGTGGGGGTTGCATATACCTTGGAAGAGAACGGGGTCAGTTCGATGCGGTGCACTGGGAGCCCAGCAATTGGCCGGCCCGACCGTAGCTCGTAGCTATTTAGTGCATCTGAGAACACCTCCCTTAATTGTGCCCGTTACTGTTGTTGCTTTGGTGTTATGTTGATCGAACCCTGCCAGTTCCAGTCTTCGTACGACCATCAAGTGCTTGCGTCTCCCCGTCTGTTTCTGCAGTGCCTCTGCACTGAAGGGAAGCCTCCTCGCTCGTCTCTATTTGGGAAACCACTTCCACTCCTGTTACCTTGCGCGACGCAAGTACCGTTTGGAGCGCTAAGATATGCAGTCTCTCAGTGCTTCCAGGCCAATGTAGCTCGATAGTCTCTTCAGGGGGGCGATTGCGCAACGGCCGTATTGTCACCCACGGCATGCCTCGGATTTTTCGGTGATGAACTGGACCAAGAAGGACATCTCGTACCATGTGAATATGACCCATTTCCGAATTGCGCTCCCATTTACGCCCATAGTTTCGCCCATTGTAAAATAAAATTTGCTCCGCAGCCGGCATGAAGTAGCGCTAGCAACCGTTGGACCTTAATACGAACCTGGATAATCCCTGAGTTAATTTGATGGCCTGCACGTGCGGCTATCCTCGCCGTCGGCTGTAGCCCCATTACTGCGCCGCACTTTGCGCGGATGCCACGGCATTTTTTGGATTACTGTGTTTGCTCGTCTGGGTGCGCTGCTCGAGGTCTTGCTTCTCCAGTTCTTGGGCCTGAAATATTGAATAATGCGGCCTTGTTTATTGCAAAACAAGGGGATGCGCCGCTTCGCTCGCTCCGACGGCTTTTAACGTGCCGAATTTGCAAACTGTTGCCCGTTTCCCGATACCGCTTCTTGTTTTTCGAGGCGGGCAGGCGTTCACACTTTGAGTATCTGTATATATTACATATGGGTCATCTGCAAAGTGGAAGTGCCATCTTCCCCCTGTGTGATGCTAAAGCACTCCATCATCTTGGTGGGGTTAACTGTGTCACCCCCTAGCTCCCTCTCCGAGGCCTAGCCGGTTACGGATTGTCTATCTCCAGCGAAGTGTCCCGCTACGAGCCATTGCAAAAGAACTTTCGAGTCCATTGTTGGACTTCTCTTCATCAAGTACTCATGCTTATCGACGCAGCGCTCTATCTGTAGTTTCCCCACAGCTTGTACCCTTGCCGAACTGGGAACAGACCTATATCTCGGCATATCTCCTAAAGCTTCCATAGTCCAGGCTTGCTCCAGCAAAGTGGCATCCTGGATTAGATAGAATCACCATTGCTGCGTTCCCATTTCTAATAAAGAAGATGCCATTAATAACAGCAGTTCTTTGGGCGCGTTTTGGAGACGGAACAAGAACACCAGAGAAGCATGGGATTCCATCGCCCCCGCATGGTGGCACCGGCCATCCCTCCACTGCCTACAAAGGCGGGTGCGTTCTTCATGGGTTGTTCTCGCAGAAAAAACATTATTTGTTGGGCAGGATATAGATACTGCGTTGCTTTCAACGGGACGAGGCTACCAGTCGCTGGCTGCTTCCCCGCGCCAGGGGACAACTTGATCCATTTCCACTATGCAGGAGGAGCAAAGGCGCTGAGATCTCCACCGGGCTTTGGAGGGAGTACCTAAAGCTTTTCCGTCTTTTTCTTTGGGTTGTGCTTTTTATGCACCTCCGATACTAATGAGCGCTATGCTCCCTTCCGCCTTACTGTGGGGCGGAGGGGGGGCGGGTTCTTTGCTCTTTCCTTCCCTGATGAAACAAGGGCAATGATAATTCTCCATCCTATGAGGACTGCCGTGTGGATCAGCATAGCCAAATTCCTTAAGACCAGACTCCGCCAAAAAAGCTTGGCCAAGGGGCCAGTGAGGACAGGAGACGGTACAACGCTGCAAGTAATGCTGCGAGGCGGCCCCGCATGCAAGCACAACCAAGTCACCTTTGACGCATTCACTAACACTGTAGGCATTCGCTACACTCTTACTTGGCCCTGCTTAACCATCCCGCGCGCATGTAGCTACAGGCACCATCACAGAGACACGGGAAAAAGAGGCAAAAACACCTACATCCTGCATTCCAGAATTGGAGATATGCACGTAAAGATATATCCCTTACCTTTAGAAGAAACCTTTAAGAAACGGCTAGCACTGGCTGAATCACGGTGATTGGGGAATAATGGTTGTACCAGTGGCTCGCCAACTCGGACAGTATCAGGAGCTTCGTGAGTATGCTTTTGCATACTGCGGCACGAGAAAGTATGATGAGTGCAAATAACAAACATACCTTCCTAACTGCACATCTATGTGGACACGTAATTCGCCTTTTTGACCAATATTCTGCAAACTCGCCTCCTAGGTCACTTCCGGGAAGCCCCACAGACCCATCCTGCTCCATCCAGCCAGACCGACCGACTCCGTGCAAAGACTGTGTCAAGAAACGTTCCTTTTCCCTTGGGACCTTCAATTTGGAGCCTTTGTAGATAGGTGAAAGGTGCGAATGCCCATAGGCTGGCCTTTTCCAGGCTGCCTTTTTGAGTAGCCCCGTGCTTGCTCATGTGTGCGGGGCTGTCCGTGCTCCTTTGGGTTGTAGACGCACGTTGGAAGTTATTTTTGATGCAACGAAGTGCATTGAGCGACGTTTACACTAGTTAGGCAGGGGCTTCAGAGCTAGCACAGTGTAGAAACGCGCACACAGAGATGCGCGTTCGCTGCGCTCTCTAACGCGGCATCCTGTTGCATGTTTTAATGGAGAACAATCGACGTTTGAGAAAGCGACGAAGTCCAGGATAGTACTTAACGACAGGCAGGCTCTGCCGAAGCTAGGCAACGGCCGATGGAGTTGCGCCCATACGATGTTGGAGCCAACCCAGCTGATGCGGTCCAAACATATCCCGGAAAGACGCAGCGTTTGTTCCATAAGAAGTTAAGCAGACTTGCTTTGTTTTATTCACGCCGACACCGAAACATTGTCGAGGAGCTGCATTTTACTGGCAGCATTAGAGGCGCAGGGACGCTTGCATGACACGATAACACTATTGGGAGATGTGCTGCGGCAGGACATGAAACACAAGTAGGTTTCGATGCAGAAAAGCTGGATTCTCGCAGAGCTTTGGCTTCCTTTCCTGGGGTTGGAGGACCACCAGAACTAGTTGCTTTAAATGACAGCGTTTCAGTCGCTGCGCAAATCGGAAGCGGGGAAAAAGATGTTTCTGAGAACCACAACACGACTTCCGTTACTGTTGAATGAGTGAAAAAGCAGCTTTTTAGTGCAGTTGGGATGCATACCGAGATGTCGAACAACGCAACGCCGCAGTTTGATACACAATCAGCAGTTGACTCACCGGCGGGAGCGGAGAAGGAAGAACCGCCGGCCGAAGTTGCAGCGAAGGCAGCAGAGGAGACCGATGAAGAGCTGTTGCCTGCTCCCACTATAGAAAATTCTTGCCATGCAGAATCACACAGTCCTAAAACAGCGGTCGGCCAGCTTGGTTCTTTAGCAGGTACAATGGCGAGCAAGGGCATATCCACTGCTGTAGCTCTGGCATCAGAAACAGCGGCTGCACTTCTCACAGCAGCAGCAGGAACAGCAGCAGCAGCAAAGGGAACAGGAGGGAACCTGCCTGAATTGAACGGGGGGCTGTCTGAATCAGCTGGTAGACCATTGTGGAGCGCCTCCAGCCAGAACAGTCTTCACAGTGAGCCCTCCTCCAAAAAGAATCCATCTGACGAACAGCGGGACCCGTCTATTCTAAAATCGAATGGTGCATGTGGATCCAGCTCTGAATTGATACGCGCGGCAACAAAAACTGTAGAGGAGGAAGATGACTTGCCCGCATTCGCTGACGAGGAAAGCATTGCATTGTATGCCGAGATAAGGGATAAGCAGCGACTGCTGTCCAGACAAGGGACCGAGCTAGGGCAGAAAGCTGAGCGAGTAGTGATCATGCGACAGCATTTGCATCAATTAAAAGCAGAAGCAAACCATTTAGAAAATCTCGTTGCTGCAAAGGAAGCTCACATTCACAGTGACAAACACATGGAAGGGGTGGCGGTTCGCCAGACCAGCAAACTCAAAAGCGAGGTGCAGCAGCAGCAGCAGCAGCAGCAGCAACTCCAGTCTAGACTAACGGCACTGCAAGTCGACGTTGCAAAGGGGCAGGAACAGATGGACTGCTTCAAACTGCGAATGAGGTGGAATGAAGACGAACTGGCCCAATGGCGTTCGGCTGCTCACCAAAAGGAAGTGAGCGCACGCTCCAGTAGCAGTGATTCGCAGGAGTATTCGCACTATAAAATGAGGCATCGCTTTTGGGAATGCACTATTGATTCAAGTGGAACCGATTGGGCTAAAATATATAGCTAAGAACACTTAGCTACCTCTTTCAAGAGGCGACTTGGCCTGGATACTTCCCCTCTCCGTCTGGCTTGTTGCAATTCGCTTCCCTTGCAACTTCTGCACAAGAATTTTTCGGTGTCCTCTGTCCACATCCTCTCCCCGTGTGACGTAACTTAGGATGGGGGACGGGAAAAGCAAGGTGATGTTTTGTGATGTTCCCCGGCCGTTTAGGAAGACCTAGCTTGCATCGCCGAGTTCAAGAAGAAAGATGACATGCGAGCTGCAGGACTAATGGCACAGGCACAGAAAGCTTCTGCCGAAGTGACTGAAGCAAAGAAACGCCTACAGGAAGAACAGACAGCGTCCCGTGCTGCACGGGCAGAGCTCCAGCGATCGTTAGAGCACTTTGCCGAGCAACAGAAAGAGAGAGCACTCCTGATCGCCCAGGGGTGAGGCCAGACGGCGTGCGGGATGGCATGCCGTCTTCTTGAGCCATAGTGTGAGACACAACATGCAGTGTGTACTGCAAGAAGCGCCCCTGTGATTTTGATGTGCTTCGTGCGAATCCTTTGGAATCCTTTGTGGGCAGGGAAACTACTCTAGAAGAGATGTGGAGGAGCGATTCTCGTATTGCACGATCAACCTGCATATTTGAAAGGGCGCAACAAAGGCTGAAGCAACAGTTGGAGAAGCTAGGTAACAACAGCCTTTAGAACCCGAATTTACCTAGGTTGCCACCAGATCTGCAGCGGCAGCCTGCGTTGTGCCACCCGCCGGCGCATTTGTTGTCGAGCTGTAATTGGCGAGGTGCTCTTGTTCCTACAACACTCGCCTCAGCTATGCAAATGTGTGAGCAGCTGCTGCCAAGGGCTTCGCCCTTAGACAACAAACCCAAAACAAAGAACTTCAAGGGGGGATAGCTAGCTTAGAGCAACAGCTGACCCAGTGCAGGTCAAACTACTCCACTGCAACAATGGCTGTTAGCCAATTGACGGAAGAGGTCAGCGGCGATGAGAGGGAAACGTTGCGAGGGTCTTTGACGCGCAACCCAAACTGATGCGTCCAAAACATGGCCCCTCATTAAGGAGGAGTTATTGCTACTGAACAAAACCGCATGCAGTCAACGATTGGAATGCATTGGACAACCGGCGCTAGTCACCTCTGTTCTTGCCTTCACCTTGTAGCGTTCCATACTTACCGATCCGACAATCGTTCACAACTGATGCAGTTATGGAAGAACCGAAGGGCATGCCATTTTGCATTTTGCAATTATGACGGACACATTATCCTTTGCAACCGTGTTTTCAATACTATGCTTTTTCAGGTGGCCGGTTTACGAGGGCAGCTGTCCGCTACAGCAACCAGAGGAAAGACAGCAAAAGGGCAGCTAGTCGAGCTCCACGAGAGCCTCGCCGTTCAGAGGCAACGATTAGACTCCATGAATAAGAAAAAAGAGGCAGCACAAAGAAAGCTAGCCAAGGAACAAGAAAACGTTCGGTCGGCTGGGGAGGCAGGCGAGGCAAGAGAAGCTTTTCACGCACAGGTGGCTGCACGCCTCCAAAAGCTGCAACAGCGAGTCAAGTCAAGCAGAGATGCTCTCTTTGGAGCAGCACAGAAACTTGCAGAGGAGAAAGCAACGCTGAAGATGAAGCGCGGGGGACTGAGCAGCACAAAAAATGCATTGAGGAGTCTTCACGTAAGAAATTGGTCGTCAAAAGTGGCAGACTTGCACCAAGACTGATGTTATTGATCCTCTTAGTGGACTCTTAGTGGACTAATGTACTGTCCAGAATGCCAGCACTCATTGGGCGGTCTTGTACTTGATGCTTGGTAAACATCGTCGCAGTATATCGCTGACTTTCTGTTGCCCTCCTGCACATTTGGCGAACTTCGAAAGACGGTGTCCTGGCTCGGCGAAACTTCACCTTCTGCAGCTTCTAGAAAGTCACCATTTCGGCTTTTCTGTTATGGTACTGTGCGGCCGCATGCCTGCGTATACGGCCTGAACTTGCGAAAGCTCAAAGAGAATGTAAATGACTGTGCCAGTGTAGTCTGGCAGCGCCAACTGAGATGCTGTGCTTCCTTCAGGCTCAACTACAACAGCAGGAGGCAGAAAAGAGCCGACAACAAGAACTGCTGTATTCTATTGACTTCCAGTGCCAAGCAATGCAACGAAAAGTCTCGCGCATCTCGGGTTACAAGACTGCGGCAGAGGCGAAAGCCCTTCAGAAACACATGAAGGAATTACATGCTGTGTGCATCAATCTCCTGCCCTTGAAGTCTCCCAGACGATTTACGCCTTACATGACTGCCCCACAGTTGATGTCCATGCTTCTACTGGCATTGTGGCTCTGCGTTTCCGATAATCAGGAGTCCACATTGCAGAAGGAGGAACAGTCTATGCTCTCCTCTCAAGTCAAGCACCTTGACGGTGAATTAAGGTAAAATTGTCTAGTCACATTTTAGGCTATCTGTATTTCCAACCAGCACTATCGACCACATAAAATGGGCAGCAAACTTTATCCCAATGCCTTTTTGTGTATCATTTTTGGACTGGGCAGAAAGGCTCAACGAACACTTGCCAGGGTTGATGAAGAGGACAATCGATGCGCTAATAACGTTGGGGACATTCGTCTGGCTTGCGCGTCCCTTGATCGAGAACTGCAAACTATAGTCAAACAGAAGGAGAAGCTGGTTCTTGCCGAATCTCTAAGGAAGCTTGAGGTCATCAGATTCTTTTGAGTTCATTCTTTAAACCCTTCAGGGGTCACCGCCGCTAGAAACAACGAACAACTCTGTGTATCATCCAGTTTGCTCTTGTCTCCTTGACCTCACTACATGCCTGATTCAGTAGGCTGTCAAGTGCATGGCTCCGCTGTCATTATCAGGTTACACGGTTGCATGAGGAATTAGAGGCATGCGCCGATGCATCTTTAGAGGCAGAAAACAGGAAGGTGCAGCACCACCTTCAGATGCAGGAAGCCCTTGCGGCGATGGAGTTGGAGTTGGACAGTGCCAAAGGACAACTTGTGGGCTGCCACTGCCGAGGAGTTCATCAATTGCTATAGCTACTTACAAAAGTTTTTCTCACCTTATCTAAAGAGTTAATCCTCTTATTAAGGCTTTCATTCATTCGTGCACTCTTCCTTAGATTTAGGATTTTTCTTGCGCAGCGCGCGGTGGAGGAAGAGAAGCGCAAGCTTTTTAAGGAGGCGGCAGAGCGAAGGTCCAAAATCTCAGCGCTGGAAGCAAGATACGAAAACGTTGTGCAGGTGAATGGGCAAATGCAGCTCCTGCTCCTGCTTACGTGGGTGATGTTCCGATTTACCATGCGCACGCAGATCCATACCACTTTGCACAGGGTGGCCTCTGCTGAGGTTGACGTTGGTAGTCGTGGCTGCTGTCTGCAGGTCTCTACGAAACCCATAGAGGAAGTATGTAAAATGTTTTTGTTTGGGCGTACGCTCAGAGCAGCCAGACGGAAGACGGCGCAGGACATTCCCAGGCTTACTATGTCATTCGTGTCGGGCAGGTACCTTTGACATATTCCACAACTGCCCACGCTAAGGATGACGATTCGATGAATTATAACACCTCTTCAGTAAAGGCTGGCGTGGCTGGCGCACATCTGCGGCTGCCCAGGGATTTCTAGAGAAAAACTGGCGATGTTGAAATTACTAGCTAGAAAGCTGAATATTGCGAACCTTTCTCAGGAACGCGAGGAGCTCCAGCGGAAAGGTGCTGAAATGCACCGCAGGTTGCAGAGCGCTAGTGTTGAGGTACAGGGTCTTGAGGCTTCATTAAAAGATGTATCTCTCTCCAATAGCCGCCTACGTTCAAGACTTCAACAGGAAACCAAAGCCCTCGGAGCTCTACGCGAGCAAAGAGCGGAAAAAGAGGGAACCCTCTTCCTCAGGAATCACATGGTTTTTACACAGCAGCAGCAAATCTGCGTACTAAAAGAAGCCATCGAGGAAGAGCAGCGCTGCCTCCAAAAAACGAAGGAGCAGCACCAGTGCGTTCTGGACAGACTAAGGGTGCGTCAAGCAGCTGCGCCACCGAGAAACTGTCTGCCTCGTGTAGAGGCATAAAAGGAGCCTGAATTGTCTGTCGAGGAAGTAATAAGTTATTTTTACCTTCAACTTTGGGAGGAGAAACCCAATCCGTCTTGGATATATACCTGAGCCATTGTAGAGCCGTTGTAAATGCAGCATGCATTGCTAATTGCTGCTGCAGGACGTTGACGAAAAGAAAAGGAACGCGGAGAAGGAGAGCAGTCACATCTATGAAAAGCTGCAGCGGTCCATAAAGCAGAGGCATAAGGTACAAACCACTATACAGAAGCGCCGTCTACGTACTACCCCATCAAGTCAGCTGATGGAGGCGAACGAAGAATGCAAATTTTGCAATGCGGAGATAGAATATCACGCTGAATGCCTAAAAGGCATGCTGAAGAGTCTTTATCGATCGATGGGGTAAGAAACTTGGAATTGATCTTGAAGGTTAGCGGTGGTGTTGTTGAATGAGTTAATCTTAGCCACCTCATGTCAGTAGGCGATTTCTTGAAGCTTACAGCCGCATAGTTACTGATTTCCTTAATAGCTCTTGCTGTTGAATGTACCAGATAGGGAGATGCAATGCCTCCTGTTCGCCTCTCAGGCCAACGGTTGCCTCCCAGCCGGCTGCATTCGAGATTCTTCAGCGAGTATTAGGAGAGGGTAGGAATACCATATATTGCATCGCCACGTTTTGCCAGCCTCTATTCCATCCCCGTGCATCTCTGTTCATGAAGAATTAAGGGTTTATTTCAGTTCGTAGTTAAGTGCCATGCATAAAACTTTAGATGACTCACTTCTGGATTCTTAACATGATTAATACCAACCAACAAGATTTTCAGGGCTGATGAACGGGCTGAGAGATGTGTGCCTTCCTGTCCCTAAGCTGTAGGGCCAGATAATTCTTCTATGGAACTTTCGCTCTTCGACAGACGATCGTCCTTCAGATGACAGCAGAAGACAGCGCTTCGATAACAAGTGCGTCTATTGCCTTTCGCTATGCTCTCCTTGTAGTGGGTTCAAAGCGCGACCAACGTTGCTCAAGTGCCACAAGTGGACACTAGTGAGCGCCCTTCAAGTATATCCTTGTGCGGCAGGCGCCCACAGAAAATGAGTACAAATATTCTGCTGGGTGTGCACCCTTCCATTCATTGCGATGATGACGCTACTCAAGTGACCAAGTTCCCTGGCATGTGCACTTACTCTTATTTTCGTCGTGTTCGAACTGACTTCTAGAACCCCGCTTTTCCCTTCAGGTTCATATGAGCATATGAAGGGGCACAAATGCACATGATTGAGGCTTTGCACTAAAAGCACAGCTCGTCGTGCAAAACGTTTACTGGAATCACTGTGCCGGATCTGCTGTATTATTGCACGGCATGGCGCTCACTCGAGCAATCTTAGGGGGCCCGCAAAGCGAAATTCTGCCTGACGGATGCTGTTTGCTGCTGCGTTGATTTCTTGCTGCAGGCCCCTTTCTGACATCATGGAGCGCGAGCAAGCTTACAACCAATAAGACAACGCTTGGGACATGGGATGCATAGCATGGCTTCGTAAGCAAATAACACTGCATGCAAACGTTGTAGGCTGGTAATTTAGATTCACCAGCATGCCGGCAAACCAAGACGCTAGGTTACGTGGAGTCCTTTTCCCCATCGTAGCGATGTTTGCTTTTTGCCATAAGACAAAAATTATTCAATATCAGTGCCCATTCATATTGACGGCATAGATGCTTGCTTGATACCTACTCTACATGTTGCAACAGAATATCATCTCAGTCCCTTAGGTGCTGCTCGTAGAGGCATTCTTTACAAGAGGCAAGACACCTTTACGCTGCGGCCGCTAATGCGATTGGGGACGAAGTTCCCAAATATTTAGCTGGGCTATGAGCAGATATCGTTGCGGTAGTGCGCTGACTCCATTTTATCCCTCCCTGGCCGCAGCTCAAATAAGACTGCACACTCTCTCAGTTAAGCAGTTGAAGGCGGTGTAAAGTAGCCTACAACGGTCAAAAGCACTGTGAGGGAGTTAGCGCTTTGCACCCACGGGTGTTATGACAGCGTCACAGGCGCTGCTTGTAACCAGAGGCTGCACAACTTCAGAATTCTCCAATACGGAATATGCCCTCACGTTACACATGAATGGAGCTGAATTGTATGCCACGTCGTGGGATGCAGCAGTAAGTTAATTTTGTGGAACATTTGCTGTTGTCAGCAAATGACTGTCGCACCGCCGTCTGCAACCCACAATAATTTGCAGGGCGTCCGTTATTTAAAGTTACGTGCTCAAAACAGAAACATGAGGACATGAAATACTTGCAGCCTGCAACGCCGCCCTACCAATGCTTACTGGATGCGTTGCTACTATAATGCTACCAGTGGCCACCCAGCGCCCCGTACCCTGAAGTCCCTTTGCTACGGGAATTTCTTGCTTTGAGATTAACCTAGTTGGAGATATGTGATAATTATCTGTGAGGAAGGCAGACGAATACAGCAGTCACCGACCCACAGCAGTATTCAATGCAGTATTTAGCTGTGTATCTGAAGCAATCAGCAGAATCAGCCTACAACCAGTTGTACACCTTCGCCGAAGATCGTCGGCAACCTACCAATCGGAGAGCCTGTTCCTATGGTGAATGAGCAAATGAGGAAAGATCAGTGCAAAGGAGGGAGCGCGAAGCCTTTCCCTTTGCAAGGCCACTATACCTAACGTGCGCAGGCCACTGGGATTGTTCCCGCTGGAGCGAGGAGTAGTCCATGAAGGAAGGACCTGGGTAGGCAAGGGTATAATATGCCTTACTAAAAGGTGACGCGCTCCCAGGAGAAATGTGAGGACCTTTTATCTGTGACATGCGACGTGACTCCTTTTTTGCTCCCAACGCCCTGTTGCAACCCTTGGCGTTGGACAAGGGACAACCGGCCGAGCAGATATTGAATCCTGGTAATGTTCCCTCTACCTTCGGCTAGAAGTTTCACTGCAAACTAGCTAAGCAGAGCAGATTGCTTAAAGGTACCTCGAGACTTGCGAGAGCTCCCACGGAAGCGAGCGTTGAAGTCTGGCCGAGCGCTCGCGCCGGCAATGCCATCCACTACGGCCATTCACGCCCTACTTTTGCACAGCTGATTAATTTCTGCATGAAGACGACAATATCCGATTGCGGCATTTGCTTTACGTAGGACATTATGAAATGAACTAGTTGGTATCAGCTGCTGATCGAGGTCACCTTTCAGGGCTCTCTCCCGGTCCCCTCGAACAATCGCTGGCCTCCGCCTATTGCTCTGTAGCACTGAAAACGTTATCGGGGCCTATAGGGGGGCTATAGGCAACTATGCACATCTCTGTAGACTCGTTCTAGCCCTTCAAGTTATACTTTTGTGGTTGTGCTGCTCAGTCTGGCCCAGCAGATCGTAGCGTACATGCTGAGTATCCATGAAGCTGCACTCTGAAGCGCCAATACTATCCTTGAACCACAAACATACTAATTTGCACAAGAAAAACGGGTTGTAGCATCTCTCCTGACTCTTCAGTAGGCTGCTGCCATGGTGGGCAGATTCCACCGCCGCGGCCTATGGTGTACGGCGGAAGGCAAATTCTTCAGTCACATACTTAGCGGTCTGCGTGTGGCTGCTAAATCCACAGAAAGAGCAGCGGAAGGAAAATAAATGTTTAGGAGATGCATTGGTGTTCGTATTCTCCACGGCAAGGCCGAACTAGGGTTTGCTGTGTAAGAGCTTCTTCCCGGTGTTCCCTCCTGTCCATCTGAAGGGCGAACCTAAATTCTTGAAGGAACTGGATCGTCCTTTCAGCCAACAAATTGCAGCAATGGTGGCTCCCCGATGCACTAAAAAACCTTTCTTGCTGCTATCTTGCGGCTCCAGACCCGAATGCTTTTGCTCTTTTTCCGATGGTCGTACCTGCGAACTTTCTGGAAGACATCTACGAGTCACTAGCTTGCGCGGGGAGACAGAGTATATTTCGCTAGATGATGCTGACAGCAATTTAGGAGGGAGTGAAGAAGAGGCAAGCGGGTGCGCATACATCTCGTGTGCTAGCCACGATAAAAGAAAGCTTGTGGCTCTCGGAGGCGCAGGCATCAAAGCAAACATTAAGGTTATTCAGCTGTCTTGCACGCCTCCGAGGTGCGCATGGAGGCACACACTTAATATTGCAAGTCCAATGGAGATTCTTTCTCTAGAATTTTCACCATGCGGGCGCCGATTATTTTGCTTATCTTCTTGGTTGCAACCGGCGAAAGAGCAGCATCCGCAATATAGTCCCAGAGTTTATCACGTTACAATTCTGAGAGCATTTGATGGAGAAATGCAGGCTTGTCATCTACTGCAGTGGGACGATTCGGCGTCCTTTCCCACAAGGCTGCTTGCTGGAAACAGCTGTGCGCTTGCCGTTGTAGCAGAAACTAACTTGATGGTTCTGCAGGTACTTCGGAGCAATGAAGACAAGGTAGTAACATCTGGGCTATTGCTCCCAGTAACTCGCGGCCCCTCCATTGGCTCTGCGGGAGACGTGAGAATTACCGGGGCTTGCTGGATAGCTGCTACTGCAACGGGAAAGAAGAACGGCAGCAACCATAATCTTC